GCCGCCATCCCAGGGCGCGGGAGCTGCCACGCACGGCTTCCCCACGAAGGACGAGCCAAACCCAAGCGCGGGCGGTGGTGCACGATCGAATGTGTCCGAGGATCGTGACCAGGTGGTCCATCCCGCCGCTACCTACCCAGATCATTTGCCGAGACAAGGCGTACAGAGCTACTCACGGGTACGCTTAGAGCTGGAGAACAGACAGAACAAAATCTCAAACAGTCTCTGCTCTGCTTCTCAGAAATCCCGGTAGCAATTACAGCGTGAAACCTGGCCAGTGTCAAAGCCCAGGTGGAGACTTGCACGTGGACACCAGATACGAGGCACCAAACAGCCGCCATTCCAGCAGCTCTTTCCCCGTTTTATGCATCAATGGAAGGCCCCGAGATAAGAGCCCAAACTCTCACCCACCCTGTCCCCCTCACTTCAACGCTCACCTCCAAGATGTCTCAAAGCTTTCTTTTCCTCCTTCCTGCCCGTTTCTTCCTAACACAACCTTCTCACTGCCTTTCCATCCATTTCTCTCCTCATTTTGTTAAGTAATTAGGAAAAGCTTCTTATTCCCAGCTTATTTTCAGAACACTTTGCAAAAGCTAATGCTCCAGTTCTGCTTCCACTGCTGTCCATCACCTCCTTAGCAGCTGGAGTGGGACCACCCATCAGTCAGCAACTGCATTCAAATCTGTATCAATGCACAGAACCAGGAGTCAACATATGCCAGGCTTCCTGTGAAGTTTCACCTCCGTGGAACAGAGTGCCAGTGAGAAGCTCCAGCAAGTGGCTTTCTTTTTTGCAAAAGAAAAACCATACCAAGCAGACGGTGAAGACACAAATTGGTTTCTACCATACATTAGTGACCTGCCCTAATATGGTAGGGCTGAAGCAGCAGCCTAGCTAGTGAATAGCTCGTACAATTGAAAAAAATCAACAGTGGACAAGAAAGCTTTATGGTTCCATTATAGAAATTAAGTCTCAAAATCAGTAAGAATTTTGAGTATTTTCTACATTCCTTCAGTTGATAATACTTTCCCTTGTTTCCTGCAGTTTCTGTCACAAACTAGTACGTCTCCGATCACTGGCTTTGGCAGGTCACACTCGGTGTCCTACTAAATCGGAAAGCAGACGGCAGCAGTCTGAGTCAGAGCTCAGGGGCCTCGCCGTGACAAGGGCATGGGATGTACCTCACCCGTGTCGGGGGACAGGCACTAGACCTCAGACGGCGATGAGCCTGTCACACCATTCATAAAACAAAGTACTTCCACAATGTGCTATCCTACCTCAGACAGCACTGCAAAAAAATTAAAGAGAAAAAAAGAAAAAAAAACCCCAAGCCCAGGGACTGGCCCTGCTTCAGTCGGGTGTTGGCAGCTCGTCGCCACCGGCAGCGACAGCATCTCACAGCCACAAGAGATGCAGAACTCGCACACGCAGGCAAGAGCCTGTGGAAGCACGTACTGCCCAACGTATCAGTAGGCCCCATCAGGGCAAAACATACTGGGACATGTTATACGACTCATTATCCACTTAATGATCCAGCATTAATTATCCGCTTTTTCTAGGTTCAAGTCTCCGACCTCAGGTTCGCAGAGGCACTGGGCAGAAGGTAGGTCAGTAAGGAAAATACAATCCATTCTCAGATGTGCTCAATTCTGGTCCTGCTTACTAGGGAACTGTTCGATTTAGAAAGAGACATCCCAGAAAGCTACCAGTAAAATAACAGCAAATATGGAAGACAGCAGCACCTTACACATACCAAAGTCAGGACTGCACACCGCACGGGCCAAGCGGCTCTGCTGGCTATCAGTCACTGCTGATCACTTCCGCAGTCTGCAGCAGAGCACTCGGGTTATCCAGGGCCCCAGAGCAGACGCTAAAAGGCTAACACTGACCCCAGCACGGTCTGCGCATGAAAAATTGACTCTTCTGTCCTGAGTGGAAGGCAGTAATCCCCCGTTCCAGATCACGCAGTTAGCATCTGTTTGATGAAAAGACAAATAGAGAAAATCTTCACTAACAGTGTGAAGTCTTGGTTATTGGTTGCAATTTAATTTTTATCCACAAGCTGTAGTGACAGCTGAGGCCACAGCATGGCACTGCTCAGTCTGCGATGGGGAGAAGAGTCGCTGTCCCAAAGAGATGTCAGCAAGAGAAGCATTAAAATTTGCAGAGCCTCGACGCACAGAAACACTGACGTGAAAACCACCTCTTCTAAACATCTAGCTGCAGCCTAAGCAAGACAAAATTGCATTAATTTACAGCAATTAAAGTATTCATTGTCAGGACAGTAGACACTAGGATGGCAAGATTTGAAGGACAGCATGTCTTTCCAGACCTCAGTCACCACTGCTCTTACCTGATGGCCAGAAATGCTGCTGGAGAAGCTGCAGTTATTACCCTCTCCTCTTTAAACATCCCAGAGGAGAGGCAGGGAATGAAAATAGACCTTTTGAAAAAAAAAAATGTTTTTCAACCTGCCAAAAAGTGTGAATTCAGCACTGGTTTTGCCCATATATCCACTCTCCAGTTACATAGAAGGGAGGGGGGGAGGAATCTGGCCTATTTTTCTGCTGTCCTTTGGAAAAGTATTTCTTCACATCTAATTCAAGAATCAATATTTTTCTCTTGCCCTTCATACCAAGTTCAGGCCAGTCCAGGCTACAACCAACCGCTGCATCTTCACAGCTCGGAGCCGATTACTGCTGAGAGCTCTTATGGCTGCGTTGGGTTCTTCCAAAACCAGTCCACCACAGGCTTCATGGGAGTGCTGCCGAAGGGCTCAGCGAGATGGCACTCTGAACTTCTAATACCTTTGCTCAAGGAGAGCAAATTGGGCTTTTTCATCTAGGGCTGCAGGTAAACAAGTAGCTCCATTAACTAAAACACACACTTTGGACAACGCTGTTAGCAAGCCCTTCCTTTTTTTGACAGTTCAGTCTTTGTTCTCCTGACCACATGGCAGCATCAGGGCATGAATCTTCCAAGTCCTAGTTAGTTTCTGAGCATCGTTTTCCTACGTTATGTTATCTGCTATCAAAAGACTCCCCGTCCCCTCTGATATGCTTCTTCATGCCAGATTTCAAGGGGATCTAATGCAGTATTTTGAGGAGTCTTCTCTAAGAACAGCCTCCAAGAAGTCAGGATCTTGTTCAAGTTTTACCAGCATCATTTTCTTCTTATCCCAAACTAAGCTGCCACTGTCCCTACTCATACAAGGGCAGCATTTCAAACTGCCTTTGCAATTTGAAACACCTGCAAGCAAGAACTTGCAAAGAGTCCACCATAATAGTTAAGCATCCGTATCAAGACCAAGTCCTGGCCAACGCACTCAGAAGTGAACATCACCTGCTACAGACAATTTGCTTTTAGGGAGCAGATCGCTCCATTCAAAGTGCAGCATCTAATACAACAGCCCACCCACCCCCAGGGGCAGTCAGTACCACTGCAAGTCTTCAGAAGCACCTGGTAGAACCTACACAGCACTATTCTGGAAGTGCTTTAAAGCTACCAAACAGCACTCTGTCCGCATTGAAAAAAACATTTTATAAATGTCAAAGGCAAAAAACCCTGCTACTTTGTCTAGGTGTCTTTACAGATGACCGTCCCAGTCAAATGAACAAACCATCTGCCAGACTCAGTTGTACATATTTTCTTCCATTTCAGATGTGCTCGAAACAGAAGTAATTAGGCAAGTCAACTCCCCGGCATTGTTTTTGCCTGAATTTGTCCTCCAGGTTATGGCAATACAACAGCACAATACTAAAAAAAAAAAATGCAATAATCTTTTCATCATCCTTCAGATGATGCTTGCTATGGAAGCTTCCAACCATGCAAAAAAGCTACTTACCTGTAGCTAAAGTAGTAAGCTTAATTTGGACACAGTACATGCCAAATACTGCGGATATAATAGAAAAGAAAAAGACTCAAAACCAAAAAAACACCCCACCCCACCAAAACAAAACTGCTTTTGTTTTTAGGAAAGCTGGTAAAGAAAACATTGTGATCTACAAACGGTTTGTGTCAAAATGATATAAAAGAAGGAGAACAGCAGTTAATGCGCACCTCTGTAGTTTTACATAAATTTATTTCAAGGAAATGAGTTGTGCCAAATAGAAATTGTAGTCTCAATGCCAAATGCATCACTTAAAGTGGAAAAACTCCTCCCTTGTCCTTGACCACTATTTATTTAATATTTTTTAGGATGGAATTATTTTTAAAAAAATATTTTCACGTATTTCTTCTTGTTATTAACAAAAACAGTTGGTTCAGGGCCACTTTCTTTCCTCCTAGAGGCGATTAGCAAACAGAGCTCCCACAGACACTGCTCCAGGATCAGCCTTCTTTGAGGTGACAGAACTGAGGGCAAGAATACAGAGTTCTTCACAGCTCTCCTGCAGATGCAGCTTCTGGGCTCTCCTGGTTAGCCAGCTGATGTCGCATTAGCAGCTTTGCTTCCCCCAACACCTTAATTGGGTAAGATTAGTCTGTTCACAACGAGGCAGGTCCAGATAGTGGGTTTCATTGCAATTTGGAGAACTACTCTTCTCCATACAACTATGTTTTCTTTGCATGTACCAGTGGTGAACTTCAGTGTGTAATCATCAATTAATAAGTATCAAGTTGTCATCACTCTGTTGTCTACAAAAGAAAAAATCATTTTTCATTCAGCAAGAAGTGGAATGGAATAGGAAGCATTTACCCATAAAAAACCAAGCTGAGTTTTGATCCTCCTGTTCCATATGCTCTCCCATTCCAGCACACAGCTCCAGCACCTGCACTGGGACAACGAAGCAAAAACTGCTATAGTAGCAAAAGCTCAAGATTTGCACTCTAGCTACCAGGCTTGTGCCCTCAATACTCTGCAGCGTATTACAGTAAAGCATATTTATTATGCTCAAGCAGACAAAAATCTCTTATTCTGCACAATGACTTGGATGTGAAACCTGAAGCTGTACCTGGATAGAGTTCTTACTAACTAGTTGGCTTTCAAGTGTCCACAGCAACTGCTGGGATACTGCCCGTCATCATCTCACATGCTCCTTTTTGGCTATGAGGTTTCCCTCTGCCGGAGTACATCAAAAGCATAAAGCTGCTTTTCACAAAAGCCTCAGTACATAAGTAGACAAGTATCCTACTGCTAAAAGAAGATTTGTTACATCAGTCAGGATCGAACAAGTAAGTGTTCACATTCAGCTCTACTCCTTCTCCCATAGCCTGGTTTCCTTGCATGGTGCCCACAACCATTCTGTGCACAAGCAGGAATTCTCCTGGACTGCCCAGGGAGAGTAACAAGATCCCTCCACTCTCAGTCAGGGATTCAGAGGTGTGTTAAGTTTCCTCAGAAACAGGTTTCAAAGAATAGACTTCTAGACCAGCAAGCACCAGGCAAGATGTTCATCTCTTACCAACACCAGCTTACACAGGACCACTGCTAACACCTCCAAAGGCTTGAGTCTGATGGCAACCAGACCTTTACAAGCATGTTTCCAACAGTCTGACAGATGGTACTGAACCCATTTTCCTCAAACACAGCATAACTTTGGGATGAAGTACTGGTCCCTGACTGAATCACATTCTCTTGCTTCCTGCTACTACTCCCTGCCTAGTGAAAAAGTTTTTCAGAAACATAAGACCTGCAAAACCCTAAGAAGCAGAGATGTAGTTTGCTCTTGACCCCTTGGCAGTTCCATGTTACACTCTGCAGTCCTCCCATCAACCTCCACCAGTTTCTGCATGGTAGTTTTCACACGAGCAAAACACTTAAAGCATGCATTTAAGCTCAGAATCGCCACCCCTGCACTATCAACAGACTGAAGATCTAACACCAAGTAAAACACAAGAGGAACAGAGTCCAAATATTCCATGGGCTGAATTCTGGATGCTCCAACACTTGTGAAACAGCACTTTGCAGTGAGAAGCTAACTGGTGCACTTGCGAGAAAAAAACCCCACTCATTAGAAACACCCTACTGACCTCCTACAGCAGCAGATGAATGGCATGGAAGTCTGTTCTTTTCTGTAACCAGCACTGCCATGGTCTTTTAGAAATTCATGCAGATCTGTTACCGGAAACCCACTTTGTTGGTATTTCTGAAAGAGAAAGAATTTTATTTACAACACATGAGAAGTTACCGGGCATGAAGTGTTCTGCCGTTTCCTCTAGAACATCATGGCCAAAACTAGACTATTTGGTTCATTTGTTCAGTATTGCTGTAGGAAAAAAAAACCTACAATCCTGTTCTAGAAACACCACACAGATGACTTTTTTCCACCAACTACATAAGTGACATAAAATTCACATCGCTCACAGATTCTCTTACACTTTGTTTGCTGTCCATAAGACCAAACAAGTGCTCTCAACTCATAGTGGCATTGATTCTCCCTTTGTTAACATCAGCTGCTGTGCTCACTGTGAGTGCTCCGGGCTCATTTTCCCTGGGAACCCCAGTGCTGGATTTGAAGGGCCCTAACGTGAATACTCAGCATTGGCATTGGAGAAGTGGTCTGCAGAACGCCAGCTCAGCACACCGAAATGGCTCCGTGTCGATCCACACAAAGTGCTCAGAGGGGAGTAACAGTAAAACAGTTCCGCGGATCAGACCATCCAGTAAACTCAGAAGCACAGACAGTGAAGTTGTATTTTGAGATGCTTGGAAAGCAGAGCTCTTGCTCAGTCTGAAGCTGTGGTTCATGCCAGACTAGCCTTATTCTGCTGGCCTGTTTATCTGACACTAAGATAAGAAAGGTATGAGAGCTTAGGAGCATGATCCCCACTGCCTTCCCACTGGTTACCGCAGCTACCAGGAACACAAAGGAGAAACGGCACTAGAGGACAAGAACAAAAGGTAATTACCAAAAACTTAGTTTCACTTTCAGCCAGTTTATACTGGAAATGGATGGTGCAATTTTAACTGGAATGAGAAGTAGTGGGTCTTTCGGAAGACATTTCTTTTTAACCACGTATTTCCAAGCAGCACATTAAGCAAGCCTGGACACCTAAATGAGTTTAGAGTTATCTGCTTGGCCCTCGCCACATGCCTGCCAAGGGGATATTCTCTGAGATGCCAGCAAACCCTTCCTGACCTCAGCTTCTGGTGCCACGAGAAGAAACATTCATTCCACAGAAGACTTATCCGGCTCTGTGTAACTATACTTAAAAACTGACTTTTCCCACTCATCCTTCCACTTCTGTTTCCATTAGCTGTTACCTTTCTGAAGGCAGGTGAAACAGCAGAACGCACAAAGCAGGGACACACACTAAGGATGATTTGCCAAACCAATTATTGCTTAGTCATTCGGATGACTACCCAGTCATCCTTCCAAACTCACCACAGACTAAGCTAAGAGATTTTAATAGTCTCACCAGTCATCATAACTAATGCTAGATAGTACGGTGTTGAGCAATTAACAAGAATGAATACAAAACCAATTAAAGTGTAATGGGGAAAAAAAAATGTTTTACCTTTATGGTGTCATAGGAATCAGTAATAAGTGCAATAAAAAGGCTGAGGATCATGTATATAAACAGACTAATGAAGGAGTACAGATATAACCGACTGAACAGCCACACTAGCATGCTCTTCTGCTGGATTTGAGCAAATGTCGCAAACATATCATCACCGTTGACCAAAGAAAACAGACACTCAGCCACTGTGTTCAGATCTTCAAACTAGAAAACAATGAGCACAAATTATTAATAGAATGTGAAGATCAATCATCCAGATTAAAGTGAAAAGTGTCATAAAAACAAAAGTAATCTTTTTTTTTTTTTTTAAGTTTTACTCAGAGCAGAAGGAAAAAGCCAACCCTGTCAATCAAATGCTACCACACTTTCTTTCCTGTACATTCAGACCAATATACACATATCAGTAACAGAACCATGTAGAAATATAATCTTGGCTAAGCATTATACACTGACATCAGAAAAAAGTTTTATTATCAAGAAATAAACTTCCGATACTCAACAGTCAAAACAGCCAAAACAGCCAGTAACTGGCCACCACAAAGTTTAAGTTACTGCATTTTCAGCTATTTAAGACCTGCAGAAAAATATCATTCTGTTTACCAAAGCACGTAGATAAAGTGATTTCACAGAATCTATACTGTAAGCCAGCTGTGGTATGATGGGAATAGAATCCACATCTTCTAGTTACTCAGCTCTGCAGCATTACTGGAGTAGGGGTAATTAATCAATATTGTATTAAGAAGTTAAGAGGCAGCATATAGCCTTCAGAGCTCGAATGGTCTAAACTAGCTTTGTCTTGCAATAACATCATTTCTCTGTCATTCAGAAAACCCCAAGATGCAGGTAAAAGCTACAGCAGTACTGGGAAACCACTAAGCACACCCTGGAGAAAATCATGGTTTTATCTCAAGGACGTTCTCTTAAACTTCTAACTCAATTTCCCCTAAGCAGGAATATGCCCTGAGGCTAAATTCCACTCAGCAACCAGATAAGCACACCTCCCACCATCACTCTGTCCCTCCAAATTACTGCATTTGTAAGTATACTTTATTGGACAACATGAAGTAATGCACAGTTTTTTAATGTAGCTATTATCAGTGAAGTAACATGACTACCCTCACTTTAACTGAGGTCCTACATTGTAAATAAGATGTCAAGAGGCGTATGTTTGTAAGGAGAGCATATTGTTGCACAGCAACAGCAGGTCTGATCTTACCTATGGCTTTTTTTTTTTTTTTTTAATTTTTTAAGGCCATTATGAGACATTTTCTGAGAAGAAGGGGTGCATAACATGGGTCACTCTTTAGTAACCCACAAGTTTTGATGCATGGGTCCAGGGAGAAATCTGCTAAGGACTGGTCACCTGCAAGCCCTTGGATTGCCATAACACAAAATGCAGGATTCCCACTCCCTCTCTCTGGCTGCAGTAGAAAAGGGGAAAAAAAACAACCCCATATGCACTTGTATGTTTTTGAGCTAAGGCCTTCAGAGCTTCCGAGCACAACGGCCTCTGCCCTGCGTCCGGCGCAGCAGGGAAGGCTGCAGGGCAGCCCGGGCTGTGGCCGCCCTGCACGGTGCAGCACTGCCTTCCAGCGGGCACCAGCCAACCGCCGGGAGGGAGACCCCCACAGCCACCGCAGCTCTCCTTGGCAATTCCTCGGTGATACTCAGCAAGAGGTAACGTTTTCAGATAAGGTATTATTGACTACACTATCTTCTGCTCAGATAATTAATGTTCTTGCTGCAGGGAAGTTACAACAGTATTTATGCCACGCCTGTTACGAACACTTGAGCCTCTCGTATGACTGAGGATCCCACAGCATCCAGCATCCCACGGAGAAATGTATTGTCATCAACTTAAAATACGCACAGACTGAACACCTACATTTCTTAAAGGAGAGAACTACATTACGTTAGAGGAATCCGAGCTCTGGGGGTGCAAGAAGCTGAAGTGAGCACTGCAGCATGCGTCTCTGTTACAATATATACTGTGTGTAACCAGAAGTCAAGAATGAGAAGTCATAGATTTGTTACTGATTAATGGACATCTAGAACTTATCACAACAGGAATCTGCCTTTTTTCAAACTGTCACATACACAATCTGCGAAGCAAAAAAAAAAAAAAAAAAAAAACAAAACAAGATTGGAAGGGGGTTTTGGAATACACAAAGCCTTACTGCTGTACCCAGGTTTCAGACAAGAAGACATACCAGGCACACACTTCAGCATCAACCTTAAAAAAAAAAAAACGCCAAAACAAACCAACCAAACACCCCCTCCCACGTACATACACACACCCCCATACAGAAAAGGCAAAGGAAACAAGACCAGCGTCCATCCACCCCTTTGAGTCAAGATTTAGGAGCGGAAGTTACACAGCACAGGAAAGATTTGGGAAACAAAGTCAGAGTCAAGGAGATTCCCAGAAACGGCAACGAGGAACTAGTGCCTCTTTAACCCAGCTGAGCTGGGACTGCCAGAAGAGGGCGAAAGAGGTAACAGACCAGTTTACCTCTAGTCCCCAGCCAGACATTGCCTGGACAAACCATCCACTCACCACAAACACAGCCTGGTGTCTGAGATCACAGTGAGTTCATGCACACGATGAAAGCAAGAATACGTTGTTCTGTTAAACGGAGGAGGTGGTACATATGGAAAGAGAAACACTCCCATGTTCTTAGTGAATTTAAGACCCATTTCTGCTGTTATAACTAGGAACTATACACACACAAATAAAGACCAGAAAAAGAGTACGTACCTTTTCATGGTAAGGTCCCAGGACAATCCAACCACAGAAAGTATAGCCAAGATAAATCATCCCAGCACAACAACAAAACCTTAGCACTTTGGGCAGTGATGCCTGCATAGTTAAAATGAGCACCTACATGTCAGGGTGGAAAGCAAGGAGAAGGGGAAAAAGCCACAAGTTAGAGAAACCTGAGTGACAAATGCATGCTTTAGTTGTTGAATATTTGATTCCTGCCTTACATTGTAGGTTTGAAAATATCCCAGGTATCTGATGACTCCAACCCAGACAAACAAGGTTGATGTTCCAAGTAAAATGCTGCAGACATCATAGCTTGTGAGGTTCTGAGGGATCCAAACAGAGCAGATGGTCAACTTACAAAGCGGTAGGTATGTCAGCTTGACAGCTATACAAGTGCCAGCAGTTCAAACAAACAAAGCAGGGCAGTCCAACACTGAAAGGATGTTGCTACATCAAAAAAATCAGACCAAAGTGAACTGCAGTTATTGAGCAAGATCACCCAAATGCAGTAGTGATTGCAAATGAAAGCACATCCACGCCGATATTACAGTTTTGCATGAGAAACTAAAGCGTTTACTTTCGTTATGACAGTTTTAATATTAGATTGAGTATCTCCAAATTTTTGTTTAAAAAGAGGTTAATATATGCTATTGTTAGGCATACTAGCTCTCGCTCGCTATTTAGTAAAACATGAGCCATGATTTAAATGAATAGTGAGCCTCAGGACTACAGCCTAACCTGAACATCATTTTTACTACCAGTGAAGTTTATAACCAATTCTACTTGCATGCTACTTCAGCAGGCTAGAACTGGTTGCAATAAGCACAAGATACTGTCTAGCTCAAGATTTCCTACCCTTATCACCCCACCTCACCATGCAACTGGAGGTTCTCAAGTGCTTTCTCTGCAGGCCACTCTGGGCATCTGCCCTTTGAGCCTTAGTACACATGGAGCAGGAGCAGCACAGTACCTACCCTGTTTTTCCCAGAATACAAAGTTGTGTGAACACATGAATTGTTGACATACAGCTCTACTGAAGAGAAGGGGAAAAAAAAAAAAAAAAAAATCAACCAAACAAACCAAAAAGAAACCCTGAAGAGCTGCCAGCTGGACCAAACACATTGATTCCAGCAAGCCCAGACTGGGAGGTCAAGGACTAGCAGGTAACACTGTCCAAACTACAGGCACAGACAGGCCAGGAAAGCAAGCTTTAACAGACATGTTTCTAGTCCTACAAGCCATCAGGACCCCTGTTTTATCCAAGGAGATGATGCTTGGTTTGCCTGTACAATATGTACTAATACTTCTTACAGAAATAACACAACCCAGGTTGGGGTGGTTGTTTTTTTGTCAGAACTGTCTACCCACAGGTCCCACATCAGGGATTAGGGGAATTAGCACTGTGGAAACAGGATGTTAAAATAGTTTACGTGGTCTTACTGAAGAATTTTGGGGAAAAGGGACTGAAACCAGTTACCAGTCAAACTAGCACTAAGAAATGAAGAAATAAGAAATAGCAAAAGTGAACAAGATGGCTAGTGTCTAGTATAGCTCACTTTCATTCATCCACAAGTTAACACACATTACACACAGTTGTAACAAGACCAGTCTTTTATCTGAAGTATTAAACTCTCACCTTGGCTTTTATTTCCATTTTTAGGATTGACCCAATGATTGTCATCACGTCACTGATAATTACCAGGACATACCATCCATTTATGAACTCCAGGCGATCAGCGTGACAGACATGGCGCTTGTATTTCTCCAAGAAGAAGTTCACAAATCTCTATTGACAAGCATTTAGATGTTTAGTTACAGCTCACCTTAGATGAAAAATATGTACAGATACCCCAGTAGTATAGCAATGCTGAAGTTTCACATACCCCTTTTTCCTATAGTATCTGGTAGAATAATAGCTTAAAATTCACTCTCAATAGCAACAGAAATAAATAGGGAAAAAATTAAGATTAGCTTATGCCAGTGAAAACCAACTCTCCACAGATCAGCTGACTTCATAACCAATCCCTACTAGGCTCACCATGGCTTGCTATACCCTTTTTAGCCCCCTTCACAAAAGCTTCCATCCACCTCCAACAGAGCAAGCCAACCCAACTAAAGGGGTAAGAAAGAGAATTAGTAACTCAAACACAAATATAAGGCAAGAGCTCTCATTTCCAACAGAGTCAACAATATCACTTCCCACACCCACCACTGCCTATCTGCTTTCCCTTGCTCTTTTTGCTCATGAATAAATGTTGATGTCCCTGTTCCTGGTAGCAGTTTGACTATGCCTGTGCTGAATTGTGTCCTCTTCACCTTGTCTTGTTTACAAGCTACAAAAAGGATATATTGAACAAGATAAACAAGTATCTGTGCTTTCATAACCTCTCCATCCTGAACTCTTTTACCAATTCCCGTAAGCCACGCTCTCACAAAGTTTGTATCAATTCATGGTTATAAACTGGCACTTCTCAGGGCCCAGCCTGTGTTTCCACATCACTATTCTGACCAGAAGAGATGAGTCTGCTTACATAAAGCTCTGCAAGCAGTTCGAGATGAAGACAGATAGGGATAGTCTCAGTCTGCAAAGGAGAGCGAGAGGGGAAGAAGGGGACAGCAGATGGTGATCAGGGGCTGTGGAGGAAGAAGGAGGAAAGAACTGAAAGAGGGAGGTTCCAGCCCCAGAAAGACTAAAAAAAACCAGCCAGGGTTAGACTATATACTATGCTTTACATTTTCTCCAGTTAGAGCTGGCTTTGAGGGATGTTCATTAAAGCATTAAATTATGATAAGACCTCTGTGGGAATTCTACTCTGAAGTCAGGGAAGGAAGAATTCACGTTTTGAAAGTGCAGATTGTCCAGGATTTTATGCGAAAAAAATACTTCTGCAACTTTGTGCTGCTAAACAAAGAAAAAAAGTCTCCTTTTGCCCTCAAGAGATACAATAAAATATTTCATATTAGCTGCACTACACAAACAGAAGTAAAAAACCCCCATTCAACCAGCAACTGTTCATCACAGACACCTGCACATCCTTCCTAGAGATAGAGATACAGTAAGAGCGCGACATCCTGCAACAGATATACTACCCAATATTTTGGAACACTTGACAAGACTAGCAGCAAACAAGACAGACAAAATAAGCACTGAGATTATGAGCACTGTACTTACTTTTTGTAGTCTCAAGGCAAGCACAATTGATCGTGTGCAGAGGATGAGAGAAGCAAAGCAACTTAAAATCACAAATCCATCAAAGACTAGAATATACTGGGTGTTCTTCTGGAGAACTGTGAAGAGTCCAAGAAACAAAGTAGGGTTAGTCTTTTCACATCTCTCTGAGCACAAATTCTTACAAAATGTCACGTTTTGCATTTAAACACTCTTACCCCATAAATAGGTGGGATATAAGAAATGTTCTTCCTGCAGCTATGAGATTGGGCCACAACAGTGAAAAGTATGTTAAGTTCTTCAAAATAAACCCCAAAATGGGTATATTAAGACAAGTGTCACCTTTTTGCATTAAGTTCATCTGTCCATCTGCACTGCAACAGTGTCACAACTACACAGGGTAAAAGTAATGCAGACTTTGGCCCATATCAACATCACTAAATCAAAACCAAACAAAAAAATCCCATCTCATTTCACATTCTATGACCTGAAATCAGAAACTTATTTGACTTTCTGTACTCTATTCTTTTCATCCACAGGTTTATGAACCATCATGTGAACCCAAATCAGGTGTTTTCCTTGGCTTACTCATACTAATTGATGAACAGGATGGTGAATGTCTTGCTAGACGCTGTTATAGAGCAGGGGAAATGATGGGAGGAGGTGTGCAACACCACTACCACACAAACACATGTGCATCAACCTTACCAGAGCCAAATATGTGCCAGTCTTTACATTCTTGAATATCAGTGTCACTATCGAAATAGATTTTGATTTTTCCACTGTGGGCTCTATTATCAAAAATTATCTGGAAACACAAGAGTGTATCAGAAACAAGACTAACAAACTTTCATTCCATAAAAAAAGCTTGGTAAGTGCTTTGGCATAACATGCATTAATATTTGTTGGTCAGTTAAACTTTAAGAAAGCTGTCGCTGTAAGTGTTGGTGTTGACATAATTTGAGAACATGTCCCGTATAGCATAAAAAGCAGTATTCCAAGATGCCAAACTTTAACTTTAACCTTTAGAAGAACAATTACATATCTCATTCTCAGATTACAAAGTTACCAGCTGGAATATGATACTAAATAATACTGTTCCCACAGCAACACCATTTCAGCAACCTTTGGGAAAGACGGGTAAGGGCCAGGACATGCTCAACTGATTTTCCCTTCCAGTCTAAATGTAAGGATGATGACTACCCCCTAGCTTAAGCTCTTGTTATATATACAGTGTTGGAACCGCAATACCCCATTATTCACTTACAGTATTTTGAAATGCATAGCAGTCAGGCAATTCACGGGCATGGATTGTCTGTAGGGCAATGCCTTTCAGCTTGAAGGAGATATCAACCTGTATGAGCCTGAATGTTTTAGAAAGTGCATAAATATATATATGTATATATATAAAATACACACAAAAATACACACATACACAAAGCAAGGAAACTGCACAACTCAGAATCCATCATACAAAGGGACAAGTTAAAAACAAGAATATCCCCACGATCTCTTTACCTGTAAAATTCCAGATTGAAAAAAGAGGAATTCAGCTTCAGTTCAGCTTTCTTACCAGGTAACTCCTGTGGCTTAAAAACAGTACATTCTGGGAGGAAAAGAGGAAAAGCAGTGATCTTAAAAACTTCACATAGAAAGCAGCATAAAACTGAGGTAATCAAGTTGAATGGCAAGTCCTAATCAGGCAAAACGTTAATGTCAAGCAAACCTATCCACAGAGAGCCCTGGCTAGCGGGATCAGCAGCAGGTTCATGCAGGAAATCTTGTCAGGTGAACAGTAAGGACTCAGCTCAGAGGTGGTAAAGACACCCACCCACTGAAGGTACAGAACTCTGGATGCTGCTCAGTCTGTATTTGAACTTCCTGCATGGAGGACGGAGAATAAGAAAAACCCAAACAAACACCAGCCCCCCCAAATAAAACCCAAAACAAACCAACATCAACAAAAACCCACAAACCCACTCACAACCCACTAATGACAGCAATTCAAAAGAGCTTCCTATAGTCTACACAGTTGCCATTTCTAGGCAAGTAATAAAACCAAGAGGGAAATAGGCAAAAGGCAGTTCCTACAACTGTCATGCAAAAAGCTATTGGTTTTAAATTTTACCGATTTAGCATTAGAACATAAGTACTCCACAGCAAGACATTTTCAGTACAATACTATACCTGTTTCAGTAGAAACATCTATGTTCAGTGTATCGTTGGAAGGAAACATTGTGCCTTTCTTGTATTGCTGTTTACAGATTTTTAAACCTGATCCTTCATGTTCATAACCAAGCGTCCCCAGGGATATGCTCTTTAATTGTTTGTACTAGTTCAAAAACAAAACAGGAGCAGAAGTTAGAGGTAGTCGCCTTTTTTGCATTAGATAGTAACTCGCAATCTCAAAGTTATGTATATCAATATAGCTTTTTCAAGAGGGCTGCTGGCCACTAATTAGCAGTAATTGGCATCCTGGTGACCCAGTGACTGGGAGCCCCGTACCTGCTGAGCTGCCTGCAAAGGATTACCCACATGTCAGCCAGCAAGCAGCTTTTAATTAGATGCCTGGCAGTGACTTCAGTGCAGTATGGCTGCTAACCACACACACTCCAGGGGTATCTTCGGCGTTTATCTCATGAAGTGTTAGTTTTCACACCACTTGAAACTTGACTGCTTTATGTACAATCCAAGTCATAGTTACTATCAAATCCACCCCAAGTGCAAAATCAGAGCTGCTCTTTGTATGCCTCCAGAAGAGAGAAGCCATGTGTTTGCTATATAATCAGCAACCAAGGAATATACACAGAGCTGGGCCAGCCTCCGCAAGTAATTTAACCTGCCTGCTTTACACATGCATGGAAGCATCTGAAAACATGCCTGCGAGGAAGGCACTTCCACTTATGCTAAATACAGCACAAGACACCTTCTTCATATGTTAAGATATGCTTGAAAACAAGGACTGGAAGTGGAAGTGAATAAAGTTATGCCAAGCCAAGCCCTGCCCGCACATGGATCAGCCTTGAGCACCACTGAAGAACTCCATTCAAGCCCGGTCCTCTCCTGACTTGCCTTCCACACGTCCTCGGTGTCTGCTAGAAGCAAGCGACACCCTCTGATCCCTGCAGTCACACCTTCCTGCCCAGCACAAGCGAGGCAAACCCCCGGGGCACTGCTCTCCCTGGGGTTCCCGACTCCTCAGCAGCCGAGGAGATCAATGACTTAGGGTGAACACAGCTGTCTGCCAGCTCAGCTTAGCACCAGCTAACACTGTCCAAGAGAAGCCAGGCAGACCCCTGGCCCTTTGAGGAAGGAGGCATCAACATCTACTAATTCTCTATTTTTTATCATCACCTCACCTAGCGAAAGAGCTCAGAGCAGCACACAGCACTGCTCTGAAGGAAGCTTCTGCCTCCCAGGAGGCCTGACTTAAATAAACGTGGGAAGTCAGACAAGGCTTCCCATTCCTTAAAAGAACTGTTCAGCTGGCTTCGATACAGATTAGACCTCTTTCCCCTTAAACACGGATTTTGTTATTATGCATCATTCAGTGTCATCCTGTTTGCTCCTTCCCATGGGCATTATGGCCACCAGCCATCATGTGGGGTACAGAGTCCCTGTGATCATTAACAACCACATGCACCACATCCATGAGAACTGTAACAGGAACCAGTACCTTTCCACCCAAAGCTCTGCCTCGCAGTGCTCCTTCGACTCCTCACAGCTGAGCTTGCAACAGGTTGATACAGCCTAGGAGAAACGCACAGCCTCCGTACCCTGTCAGAACGTTATCTTAAAGTAAACCAAGGAAGCCAAGTCTGACTAAGGCAGGTCAAGTGATTGGAAACTGTAGTTAGTCACAACTCCGCATCCCTCTGAGGACATCTCCAGATGACTGCATCTACCAGCCGTTGCTCTGCCCATGTGTGCTTTCAGGCTCTGCCCTCCTGACAGCATAGCACGTGGCTCTGGACTACTCACATGCCACTTTCAAACAACACTACCAACCAGTAAAAGCAAAATTCCCATTCACACATTCCCAAGCAGCCTCAGACAGAGCAGCCAGCAGAACATCCTGGTCCTCCAGACTGCTGCAGGCAAGGAAAAAGTGTACCACCACCACAGGGCTGTTTCGTAACACATGCTTCCAAACTGGACCCAGGAGAAGAGTACAGAAAAGCTGTCTTCTCTTCCAAGTGGAAAGTATGGGTGCTTTGTGGTTTTTTTTGCTGGTGGTGGTTTTGGTTTTTTTTCCCCAGTGTGAAAATATCACAGTGGCACATTATACAAAGCCTAAAATTCAATTTTTACAACTCCAGTTTTGCTGTGCACTATTACCATCCTCTGTAATATCATATCCTTCTGCTTGCCCCACCCCTGCAATCCCTCCCCCGTGTATTTCAAAATAAAACTCAAAACAAAACACCAAACATAAGGCTTCTAGCTGCCCATCTCGAAACAAAAAAGCATTGCTTTTAGCTTAGGAGCCAGCTGGCTTGTCTCTTCCTAGAAGGCATCCTTTAAAAAAACAAAACAAAAAAAGTAACACCAGTCAAAGTTCACGTGGAGGCACACTTTTTGAAGTCTTCAATGTGATAAAAAGAGCCTCAGGAAGACCACAGAACACCAAAAACCCCAGATTACAGAAGTTTAACTCTCCTTAAAGGATATGTCTACATTTATACAACATAGACATTTTATGAAGAAGTGACCTTTTTCTGATGCCTGTATCACACACTGGCTGATTCTTGAGGATATAAAGCTATTATTTCTCTATTGTCTTCTATCTGGACTTCACCTCAGCCTTAGTGCCTACAAAAGAAGGAAAGTGAGACAAAGCAAGCAAGGAAGAGAACGAAAGCACAGTTTATAGCAGAAATAGCAGCTATGTTGAGAGTTCAAAGGAAGACTGAGAAAACTACTTCAACACTCATTTAACACACCAGGAGTGTCCAGGAGGGTCCAGCACCGCAGAGACAGCCCGTTTGACCTGTGGACGGCTCTGCTGTAGCTTAGAGGGGGTGGCCGAGGGGCAGCCAGCCCCGACGCGAGTGCTCCTTTCAGGAGGAGGTACGGCCTTTGCACCACTGCGACTGCTGGCCGTAACTGACCATGGCAAACACTGCTTTAAACCAAGCGTCAGAGCTGATGTCCCAAGGTCAGGGAAAACAAAAGGTGGTTTAAGGCCACTTTCCGTTCATCCCATGTGAACCATTTCTGGGCTTATCATCATTCCCAAACACGACACATTTCATTTTCCACACGCACCCTCTTTCATCTCATGACTTCTAAATGTATTAATATTAAAATACAAAAATATTTACTGAATTTTCATCCTAGATCTATCTACTTTCCTCCCACAATTGTAAAGGGACTGTTCTTTAAAATACCATCCCTAACCAGGACAAGTGCCCCTACACTCCCGGAAACACCGTATTCCCCATTTTGAGGCCTCCAGCACTCACTACAAAGCTGCAATTCAGCATAGCTGTAAGCACAAATTTTTTGAATACCACACACAGGTATATTCAAGCCCATAGCTCTTCCAAGTAAGACCTAAATAAAGGTTTCAGTTCATGCAAGATGATTGATTTTCAAGCCTTCTGCATTTCAGTACTATGTGCTGAGTAAAATTTTCATTTAGACTTGTCTCCAAGAGACAAAAGTGCAGACATCTACACACAAAGTACAGGATACTCCACCTACGCTGATTTGCTGAAATATCAAAACTGAAATCCAAGAATGGCCATAGAAAACCAGAACCTTAGGAGAAGTTTATAGCTATAGCTTCAGCTTTAACCTTGTTCATTATAAACACACACACTTACCTGATTAATAACATAAAAAATGCTATCATAAGCATCCTGTTGCGTATATATACTGCAGCTGTAGTCGTCTTCATCAACTCCAGAATAGCCTTTCAGGAACAGGTGTTTAAAAGCAATAGTGTTCTCCTCTTTGAATGAGACCACCAACTGGTTACTCAAACCGAAAAAAATAAGCTGGTAAGAGAAAAAAAAACACAACAGATTTGGGTTTTGAACACTGGTCAAGCAGCACCACTTTGGAAACAGCCTTGAATGATGATAAATACAAAACAGGAAAGTGCCTGTTGCTGTAACCCTGCTACAATAGGAGCAAAGAATCTGTTAACTAACGCCGTAAGACTACTGAAGTCAAGGTTACCGCACGAATGGTAAGAGAAACAGAAATGAAGGTCTCCCCCTGACTCTCAAACAGTGCAGCAACCAGACAGCTAGATCACTGCATCCTTTCACACATCCTGGACCTACACTCTAACTGGAATTTGCCAAAGCTTTTGCTGAGGATGCAGATGGCAGAAGAGCTAGCCTACAAGCGCAGCCTGCTACCCCAGAAATGCCCTGCTTTGCTATGGGACAAAATCCTGCACCTTCTTCCTACCTCTGGCGTGGCACAGGATTAGAGCAGACCTACACAGCAACAAAAAGCATCACCTGCCTGACCCAGGTGCTGGTCAAGGAGGCTATAATAAGAAGCAGCAGCAGACAGCAGAGTTACTCCTCAGGATTTGTGTTGCCCTACTATATGCATGCTCTCATTCCTGCCACCACCAAGGAAAACACATAAACGGATCCTAGAAGCTGAAAAGAGTCAAGCAAGAGTTTCTTCACAGGCATAGTAGCAGGAAGATATCCCTAACCCCACATAGCTAACCCTTCATCTTAGGTTTAAACTGCTTACTAACAGCAAATGTGAAACTGTCTCATTACTGCAAGGATTTTCCAAGCCCCACAAGAAACTGGCAGGAGTAGGGAAGACACAACATTGAGAAACTGCAAGCAGAAGAACTGTGAACTTAGAAATACCCCAAAGCAAACAGGCAGGCTCCACTAACATCCAAATTCCTTCATTCAAAACAATGGAAAATGGAAGGCACACCTATTTCCCCCCCCCTTCACTGGAATATGTCATCTTTTGTCCTGGACAGTAATTGCTGAGATCTGGGGCAGGCTCAATGCTGCCAGACTACTTAGTGCAAGGCTGTTTGGTTGTACAGCAAAGTCACAGCCAAGGCAGAGAAATGGGGATGTCAGCTCCGCCAGGTACATACACTCTTCAGATTAAGAGCAGAATCTTCATACTCCTAGCCAAGTTTTAAAATCAACTATTTATATCTTCAGTTGACTGCAAGGAAAAAAAAAAAAAAAGAAATCACCGAGTGCTACAAATAAATCTGCAGCACTCTAGACAGCATCTCTAGAAAAAAAATCAGGGACCTTCCAGCTGCAATACAGAGAAATAAAACTTACTCGGCAGGGTTTTCTCAGGGGAACCCCTAAGGGATTTCAGCACAGCATTGGAGTAAAACTTACTTCCCATACTGGGACAGAAGCCTCTGCTGCTTTTCAGCCAGGCAGAGACACCCCAGCTGCTGCATCACACCGGAACAGCCCCAAGTGTCTTGGTAACAGGCTGGCATCAGGCAGAAGCAGCTAGAAGGAGGCTTAACTTGTTCCCAGGTTGTCCTTCCAGGGTCTTGCCCTCACTCCGAAATACAGAGATGCTTGTTGAACCTGTCCATTTACTGTAAGCTCACATTTGAGACCTCCTTGCAGAGCAGCAACACATTTTCTGTCGGAACCTCTATCCTCCTTTTCTTGCCGACTACCTGCCTGGCATCTGAGAAACACCTAGGCTGGCAAGAAAAATGTTAAGCAGCAACCCAGAAAATCTTGTGGCCTTTGAAAGCCAAGCAGCAGAGCACCCCTTCTGCTCACAAAGGGTAGTGGGGGACTGGGACAGCAGACACAAAAATTACACGTTCAGTGACTCCCCCAAGAATTTACGTCCATAGGTTAGGACAGATTGAAAGTACTGAACCTTTTCAGAGCCATGTGAAGTTGTATTTTGTCTCATTACTCACACAGAAAAGTTAGTGCCCTGTCTTCGAAGGGAGCTCAATAACCCACAACTGAGTTGCAGCTGCCATTAAAATGAGACGGGGCACCCCTTCCTCTTCGCCTACACTGTGCTCGCACTGGCCACCCCCTCCTCCCCGCGCATGCCTTAATAGGCTCCCTGCTCTCAGCGGCTCCGACACTATGGGTAGCAATTGTGCCAGCACTGCTGTAAATGCCCTATTTCTGCTAGCCGTGCCTGGGCACACCGACCACCACATCCCAGTGCCGCCGGAGCTCCGGCACAGCATGGCAGCAGCAGAGGCCAGGTCCCATGCTGGGCGGGGCCTGACAGCCTGCTGCCTCTTTCCAGCGGGAGATGAAGAGCGAGAGCAGTCAATGAAGCACAGGGACACATAAGCTGGGGTTATGCTTCATTCTAGCTGGCAAGTCAAACACAAACCTGGAATCCTGCAACTCAGCATGTTTTTAGGAGTTGTGTATTTAGCTGTACTTGCAATGTATCAGATGTCAGAGTCCTGCATTTCAAAGGTCCAGAAAAATCCATTTCTACTTACATGTGTCCCATTTTTGTTCCCTCAGCCTTCAATCACCATTTCTTAGTGGACTGTAAATTAACCAACTACACTGTGATACCAGTGCAGTTTAAAAACCACCCTCTTCTTTGCCTGTCTGGGTACCCGACTCCTTGAAATGCGTCATCTGATGACAGAAGCAAGGGGCACATCCGAGTCCTGCAGCCCAGTCATCCCTGTCATCTCCAGAGACCGCAACGTTTTCACACTGAACACGTACATTCCAAGTTACTGACTAGCTTTCAAGAAGCACCATTTTGAAACAGCCCAGTGAAGCTACAGTCTATGAATGTAATGGGAAGCAGAACACAGAGCAGTACTGCGACAGCAAGCCAGAAGACACTGTTGGGTTTAGCAGGAAGAGTAATTTGCTTTAAAGTGTTATCTTAAAATCAGCAAAATACCTGGTCAAATACTGCCCCAAAAGCTCCAGGAGGCTTCTGTAATTTACTTATGTTATTCTTCCCCCTCCACACACCTTTCATAGTATTTTTTTCTTTCTGGACTGAAGTGGGAAGTTCAAGTCAGTAACAAACATCCAGGGATGGCAAAGGCCCAGAACCACAGAACTGCTTCTCCTGCACACCACTGCTACACTTTCTCAGAGTAAAAACAGAGGAAGAATTACCTGTGTCGTAACCATCAGTATCTTCAAAATCTGCAGAGCCAGTTTCCATGGTATTTGACGTCTTGCTCTGTATTTTTCACAGGGGTTCATGAAGTAAAACTTCAAATCCTCTTTCAGAGCCATTTCTTTTAGATCTAAATCTGACTGAGCCATCATATTTCTGCCATAAATAATATGTTAATTAGGAACCAGCAGAATGCTTTGGCAGACAATTTCCTCATATCGCAGTTTCACCTCAGATCACCATATGACATAAAAGGTCTGTAACAGTTTTCTGTTCATTTTACTGCAAACTGCATGAAATATTTCCCTATGATCACATCATTAAAAATCATTCAATCACATTAGATCATCAAAACACAGCACTTACACAACTATTTCTCAGGAATTAGGCATTAAAAAAAGAAGATCTGTAAGAGCAAGTCTATATTTACTCCTTTCTTAAAACTAAGTATTTGAAACAAAGAGAGGTCACTGTTAACACATTTCTCTGAATAACCCACCTTCTGCCACCAGAAAAAGGCGCCTTAAAGACTAAACAACCAGAGCAGGCTTCACAGCATGCTTCTGTTATGAATATGCAGCTTTAAGGGCTAAACCCATAGGCATTTATTTATTTAAATATCCGGGCATGTAAAAATCAGAGGAGCAAGCACAGAGGACTGCTGTTGTAGGTGTCTTGAATCACTCTAAATTTCTCCCTCTCAGTTGAACGGGACATTGAAAACTTTCCCCTTCTTCTAATCTTTTTAACCCTGTTTTCCAGTACCATAATTGTCAGAACTTTCCTACTTCACACAGAGATCAGAACCAAACTTGTAATTTTCTTCCTCACTCCACGTGTTAAGGTAGAGCAATAAGATCTGAAACTGGCTACATAATCCGATTATCAGTCCCACTTACCATCCAGAAAATTACTCCTCATGTTCCGAATTTTATAAAAGATGATGTTTTTTCTCAAGGTCAAAACCGAAAACATCAATTCCAAGTTTTCAAATGCATTCTTACTTCTTTTGTCCTCACCTGTCTGAAGCGTACAGGTACTTAAGCCCAAACCATAGATCACAAAGCACATTTGATTTCTAGAACCAGCTATCTCGCAAGAAGAGACATGAGAGTTAAAAAACACAGTAAAGTTGACACTGTGGTGTTTCTTCATAAGAGGAAGTGAAAAAAAAAAACCACACACACAAAAAAAAAATCTATTTTAACTTTAGAAGCTCAAAGGTTATCTTTATTACACAGCCCTAAATCAATCGTTCGTGAAGATGCTGGGAGGTAGGCCGATTTTGGTTTTGAGACAGGAAAAACACAGGAAAGAGTTTAAGAAAAAGAAACTGTGGCGTACATCCCTATTTAAATTTATAAGAAAAACGTACTGGACTAATTTTAATGTTTAAGACATGAAAACTTTGAAAAAATTAAAAACATCTGACAGACAAGCATATATAGTTACAGCTGTGAGCACTGTCTAAGGAACCAGGTACGTACGTACTTCACTCCTGCACTGACACCTGAAGACATCGCTGCTCCTGCCCCAGCTTCTCTTGAACAGGCAGCAGCATTTGTGTGGGCACACAACGAGCAAGACCTAACCCGGAGTAAAAGTCACAGGGGTAGGTGGGAAAGAAAGAGGAAACAGAGCAGGTTTAAGCTGGATCTCGTTGAGATTTAAAGCATGAAGGTATGACACAAGAACCCCTCCAAAACCTGGGCCAAATCCTCCCTTAAGCTTCCAGTAAAAGCCTACCTGAAGGGACCGATCTTAAAAATCAAACAGCAAACTTTGTAACACTATTTCCTTTGATATTTAAATACACACCATGGAAGACACAGTGGTTTTTTCTAGAGCTCTTTCAAGCCTTCACAGCTATTCTAAAAACTTGACGCTGACTAATAACAATACTTTCACTTTTACACAGCCCACACTTAACTCCACTGGCTAGGGATTACTTTTACTGATGTCTTTAGCTTCCGTTATTAATTAGCTGCAGAAATTGTGAGCAGGAAATTCAGCCAAGGAAAACAACATACTTTTTCAGCTTAAGAGGAGGAGATGAGACTCAAGCCTATACACTGTTGGGCTTTGTCTTCCAGTGAAGAACAGCCATTCCCTGGTGTAATATTCAGGAAATAATTCATCTGGTAATAGCTGAAATGTGGCAATTGTTTTCTAATCCATTTGTTTCTAGAAGATTCAAAATAACATCCAAATAAACTGCATTAAATCCCAGAACTAGAACCCTCAACCAAAGAACTTAAAAAAGTTAAAAAGCTGAGTGATTAATAGTGACTTACCGCATTTAAAACAAACCATCTAGTTCTACCAAATGTTTACTAGCCTAATAATACATGCATCCAAAGCACCTAACTGAAGACAGAGCAACAGAGCAATCTGATTCGGATGCAGTAGTGTCACTAACACCGCTTCCATGGCATGTTTGTGAAGCACTCATACAAGCAAGTTCTGTGAATGAAGAGTCACTCTTCTCTGCACGCTTAAACGCTTATCTAAGTGTCATCGTGTCGCAAATAACAATTGTTACTAATTCCATTCCAACAGCTGCATTAGGACAGCCCCCTGCAGTGCTGTACCTGGCCGGACAGGCTGTCGTTTGGGTGACGACCTGTAGCGAAGCGCTTCTAAGCTCAGCGTCCTGTTCAAGACAGAGGTTTCAGCAGCAGTGGCCACCACCTCCAGCTGCCTCCTTACCAAATAAACATTTAATACGCAGCTCTTCAGCAGAAAAAGCATCACTGAACCAAGCAGCTAAAAAGCTACAGAGCACAGATTCACTTTTTTTTTTTTAAAAAAAAAAAGAGCGATTCGCTACAGGAGTTACACCAACGGTGTCCGTCAGAGCTCCCTATCAGCAACATCCACCTACTCGAGCTCTACATCTT